AATAAATCCTACTCCTCTATATCAGAGTTTAATGCGCCAAACCCCCCTGTGATTTTGAAATTCGGCGCATTAGCCCCCTGTGATTTAAAAAATGCGTCAAACCCCCCTGTGTTTTAATTAATCATGCGCCAAATCCCTTATGTGAACAAATTCAATTGTCAAATAAAAGAAAAATGATTAACATTTTTGTATGATTCAGATATTTTGACATATTTATTTGCATATTCAATCAAAATATTAGGAAAAGTGATTTTCAAATCGTTAAATTTATTCATAAAGGGGGTTCTGTGCATGATTTATTAAAACACAGGGGGGTTTGACGCATTTTTTAAATCACAGGGGACTAATGCGCCGAATTTCCAAACCACAGGGGGGTTTGGTGCATTAAACCCCTCTATATCATGTGCACGAAACATCTCCATATTCTAGCTTTCATAGAAGACTGTTCTTTAGAGAAGCTAAAACATCTACATAGCAAAGCTTAGTAGCAGTGAAACTATTATTATTAGCACTAATTAGCATAGTGCCATAGTCAGTGGAAAATGAAAAATTACCTGAGGTTCTGTAACCCCCACCACAGGCAGTAGAAGTATTTATGAAGAAAATTTGAGGAGACAACGTTTTTAGTGACGGCACTTTCAAATATCCCATACTTGAAAGTGGTAGCATCTCCACTCGGATCGCAGTTTTTGAACACACTAGTGATATTTGCCCACATCTTGCGTGCTTGATAGTTAATAGTGTCACAGTCCAAGTACCTGGACATACATCTTGTAACATTCCTTTCATGTTTGCAAGTCGATCTCCAGCAAGATGTATACCGATCAACTGACAACAAATACCATGATGCCCCTAAAACCTGAATAAAAAAGCATATTATCATCACGCGGGAAAAAGAATCAATCATTTCAGATTAAAAAAATGGAGTTGTACATGACTAGCCAGCATGTAGAGAAGGAGATTATATGCAGCCCCGGCCCAAGCAGTTTTCGTGACAACTCCTGTGGCTTTGACAATCTGCGAACTTAGCGGGAAAATAAGATATAGCCTGGGAATATACTGGATTAGGACAATCAGTGCAAGGGCATTGTTATTATGATTTGCATGTTGACTTCTCGTTGCTGGTATAATGAACCAGATGACAATCTGCAAGAAATACCCAATATTTTAGTAATAGGTTAAACAAGTCCATATATGCAAACAAACACTACGAGTAGTATACGACATACGGCATGCAAAGGAGTATTTTTTTAACCCAATTTTTTTTTCCCAAATGAATAGGTGTATTTGATCAAACAAAACTACTTTTCAGGTAATCTACTTGAAAATGAAAAACTAAAAATTAATGAAACTGACAAATCAACATGAAAAGCCAAAGTTAGAATACTAATTTATATCTGGTGTAACGTACCAACACTAAAAGGTTATACCTTGGTCATATAAGACCTTTTTCTTAAAGGAAGGTAATACTATACTACTATTTACTCCTAGTATTTACTAACATAAGACAACAGCAAGATTAGATATTTTCAGCTAAACAAAAACCAAGTGTGAGGTCTTTTATTGATAGACTGTAAAAGCACCACCTTGAAAAACTTATACTACCTCAACTCCACTCTCTCTGGAACAAGAGAAAGTGACATGCATATTAAATAGAATGACATTATGAGGTTGATAATGATTTTGCAAAGTAAGAATGAGTTTGAACCATGCAAATATTACCAAATATGAAATAGGACAATCTTAGTGTGATGGATGAACCCGGAAAGAGGGGACAAAGGTAATTGGACAGAGCTTATTCGTAGTGATTTTGCAAAGTAAGAATGGTTTTGCAAAGTAAGAAGGGATAAAGGGATAAACAGACAATCTTAGTGATTTTGCAAAGGATGAGTTTGAACCATACAAATATTACCAAACATGAGAAAACACAAATATGCAATAAGACATGAGTTAAAAAGTTATCAACATGTGATAAAAGTACCTGCGGGAGAGGTAAGGTTGCAATAAGATCAAAGAAGAAACCAGATCTTAAATATCTCCGGGCAATGAGCTTAGGATCCATGACAAGCTCACCTTTACCAAACACCCGAGTATCGGGAGCAACATAAGCAGTTCTAAACTTAATGACCACATGCAGCAGATAGAAAAAATCAGCAATGGTACGGAAAATGGTGACCACGATTCTAAGTTTCAAGTCAGTCCTCACACAGCTCAGACCTTTAGTTCCACCGATAATAGGCAAATAAAAATATAAGGGGTCAATGAACAAGGCCAACAAGCAAGATATTATGAAACCCCTGTTCCAGTTCAGCACAATGTCACTACCTGGATCAAGAACCCACTTTCTCAACGGTTCTTGGTTCTCTGGGTACACCTTTGACCTCCCAAACTTATGGGTTTCATTGTTTTTATTATGGTTTCTACTAGAGTTTAGCAATGATGATGAAAACTTATACCCAGAAGACAATTTCTCTAAGCTTGAAGGTTCAACTTCTCCTCCCCATTTTTGCTTTTTTTCATTAGAGCAGAACCTAATAGAAGCAGAACATGTTTTTAAAAACAGAAATAAATTTACAGCAATAAGGAAAAACCTAATTTGAATGTAGGGTGTGAGAACATTTAACTATAACAGGCATAGAGAATAGAAGCAAACAAGGTTTTTATAATATGTAGAATAAAGATTCCAACAGGAAAAAAACAGCGAGACCAAAATTTGACTATGTGGAAGAAGAATATGCAACTCTAATAAGCTTATACATTTCTTCCTTTTTAAGCCAAGGAAAATCAAGTTCAATTATTTTCTACATTCAAGTCACAGGCCCAATTTTTCTCATCACACACCCAATTTTTCTCATCACAGACGAATCAAAAGTAAAACTAGTATAACTCTATTAGAAGTCATCAACAACTGGAAGCAAAACAGGGTTTTAAAGTTGAATTAAAATTTCCAATAGGAAAAATGGGCAGACCTAAATTTGAAGCTACGGAACAGAACACATAACTCTAATAAGCTTAGAGATTTCTCCCCTTTTAAGCCAAGGCAAGACAATAATAGATCTTTTATGATTCAAAGTTCAACTCTTTTCCCCCAAATTTCCCCAATATACATAAATCAAAGAGAAAATCACGAGTTTAAACTAGAATTAGTAGCAACTCTCAGTAGAATGCATAAACAAACCTGACAAACTTCTCCTTCTTCATGTTCACCTCAGTGTGAAATGGGTTGGGGAAGAGTATGAATGGAAGAAGCTCAAGAGAAACTGACAAAAGGTAAAATACCAAAAGTACCCTTTAATCATAACAATACAAGAAGCCAAAACGTTATCGTTCTTGGCTACGTATGTTGTACAAGGCAACCTTTTCTCGGATTTGCGGGAAGCCGGGAAGAATGCAGAGAATGTGATTTGTAGGCCAGGATTGTATATTAGTCACAAATGATGATCATTGCAGTAAGTAGCACTGTAGAGGTATAACATACTCCCTATGACACTTTTACAGTAGGAGATTGTTGGTTGACATTGAAAATTGTGTATTAATATTAGGAGTAGTATACGGAGCATTACTTTTTGCGTTTGGTTCGGTACAAATGTTTTCATTTTCTTTTTTTGAAAAGCTTTTAAATGTAAGCTTAATTATTAAATATTAAAAATAAAATATCTATAATTTCAGTGTTATTACCACTAATGTTTAATCCTATTGTGTTGTAAACATATGAAATTTATTTTTCATAATATACTTGTATTATCATATTTAATTATTATTTAAATAATTGTGTCGTATTACAATGTAAATTGATAATATTATTAAATCATTATTTTACATAACTTATTTATTTATTCATTTACTTATTCACTTATTAGTAACCCAAAAAATTGAGCCCGAAGCCCGCTTGTAGCCACCAAGCTGGGCTTGGACTGGGACCGAGCTTATATAGTACGGGCCGGATCAAGCCTAAACAGTACCGGACCTGGTCTGATCGACCCGTCCCGGTCCATCTTGACATCCGAGCCAACCGGATCTAGTTTTTGTAGAGTAGTATACTGCACTTAGGGGTGGGCATAAAAACCGAACCGAACCGGTACCGAACCGAATATCGTATATATAGATGGTTCTATAGTTTTTTATCCCGAACCGAAACCGTACCATTTGAATCAGGTACGGGATCGGTCCTAGATTTTGAGAACCGAAAAGAACCGGACCGAACCGTTCAAAAATAATGCATTTGAAGTTTTTATATATTCTTCCATAACAATAAATATATTTATAGACCAACAATTTTATATCCCAATATGTATTCATGTGTCTCTAAGATAGCTAAATGTGTGCGTTTATATGTATATTGTTATTTTTTCTTTTTAGCTAATTTTGTGTTATATTTTGGTATATATGTATTAAAAGAATGTTAAAGTTTTAAAAATCATTAATGACTATTCATTCCAAGTAATGTAGTGTATATGACTTTTTGTTGTATCATGTTTGTGAAATTGTACAACTTAATTAATATGATTTAAATCTTAGCTCTCACGGTTTAACTATAAATTAAACCAGAACTAATATTTAACCTCTAGAACAAAAAAGAGCGTTGAATTTTTCTATTATATCGAACAATTTAATGATATTCTTTTTATATTTTCACATGAACTTAATAAATGAAAGATGATATTTATCTCGTGTATCATCACTTTGCTATACTTTTTCTTAGTTGTGTTGCACTATTTGTGTATCTGTGAACTTTAGTGCTACGTATGCAATTTCTACTATTTATATCAACACTTAATGTGAGTTGGTTGGTGTGATGTTATTTACTAATTGCAAGATTTGTCCAATTTTTTAGCATGTGTTTGCATTGTATATTTGTACCGTACCGTTTTGTACCGTTCCGAAATGACATGGTACTAAATGGTTCCATCCTTAGACCCGAACCGTACCGGACCGTACGTGACCGTTAGAAACCTCACGAATATATTAGGGGTGGGCGCCATAGGCACCTTGTTTAAGGACCACCCCTAACTCCACTCGTAAAAGCTTGAAAATTACTACGTATTACTACCATCCTATCTGTTGACGGCGGGTAGTCGCCGATTGCCGTTGAACTGTTGAAGGGAAGCAGAGACGCCGGAATGGCGTCACAACACGGCATCAAACTGGCCGTTCATCTCGTCTCCTCCTTACTCGGCGATCACAACGCTGTAAATCACTGAACAACTAAATTCCTTATTTTGTTAGGGAAAAACGTGTTTAGTCCAGTATTGATTATTTGTCTGATTTTTCGGAATTTCAGAAAGTATGTGAGTGCCTGTTGAGAAGAGGAACCCTAACATTACCGCAGATTATACAGTTCACAGAGCTTAGCGCAGATAATGTAAGGAAGTGTCTGCTCGTGTTAATTCATCATAACTGTGTTCAAGCCTTTGCCATTAAACAAGATGGTATTATATTTAATTCCCTATTGCCAGCATGACTTTGCCAATTATACTATTTTTTTACTCCATATGACATTGATGGTCATGCTGTGGTTTGTGAACATAGGTGCATTTGGGACTGAACCAAAAATTGTAACCAATTACATGGCATTATTTGATAATATAATCCATAGGATGAGGTTTCCTAAGTTTCTAGAGATTGTGTCCCAGGAGCTTGATAAAAAAGTGAGTTTGTGTTTGCACCCTTAATTTTCCTGCTTTAATTATTACTCCGTATTGTGATTTTAATTCTTTTCAAGATGAATACATTGGGTCATGTTTAGCTTATCGGCATTTTGTTCAGTGTGGAGAGATGTTTGAAGGGTTGCTTCAGCATGGCAGGCTTTCTTTCAGCCAAATACTTGATAGGCACAAGGAAACGGCAAAACAAGGTTAAGGGCACATCCTCTATGTAATGGTCATACGTAATGTGTGACAATTTTATTTAGCTTAGTATCCCCATAAATGCCTTGTGTATCTATCTCCAAAGTTTAATGATTGACAACAATCATCAGAAAATAAGGAAGGATACACAAAAAATAATAATCTCAATAGCTCCTCCACAAAAGTAAAAAGAACCCTTGATAAAATCATAAACACATTCATTTGTAATTATTAGTAAATCGTTTTCCTTGACTAAATCCTATATCATTCCAGAAGTTTCTGGTGAAGATGATGTGTTGGATAGATTCCAACGCCTTGCTCAAGCTCGATTTGTAGAACGCTGTCCAGACCCACTACCATTTCTTGATCCGCATTCTAAAGATAAAGATGAATCCGCAGCAAAGAAAAAAGCCAAAAAAGCTAGCAAGGTTTTTTCATTTGCTTGCTTCCAAAACTTCTTTGGTTTTGCTATTTTTCTGTTTGATATCTTTGAGGTTTTTTCGTGCCAACTTCTAATGAAAACAAGCCAAATTGCATGCCCCAGTGCCCTCTGTAAAAACGTAGACAAAAATGAATATAACTTGTTATAAAAGATCAAAGGGAAAGGTGAGAAAATTGATGTGCTTCTTAATTTCATATTCATGGTTCATATCTCAATGTTTTTACATGCATTAATGGCTTTTAAGAAGTTGTTATGCGGTTGTATTTTGAGTGTTTGCTATTAACATGTGGAATCAGCTTGCTGAAAAGAGTATAGAGACCCAGGCTTTAGAAGAAGCAGCTCCCATGGAATCATTAAGGTTTTCAGTTGAAATGGACTCCTGGAACGATGTTCCTGGCTGCAGCAAAAACACCAAAGAGGGAAAAAGTGTGGCAGCTGGAGGGAAGGTTTGTGTTTTTGCAGTGTATTTCTGTGATACATATATTGAATATGTGCAGTCTTTATATATGGAGCTATCTTATAAAATTGTCCTATTTTTGTTCTCATTGCTTAGCGCAAGAAAGATGAGAGTGAGTTGTCGGTGAAAGATGAAAAGAAAGTGCTTTGGCGTGTTAATTGTGAAGAGTTTGTGCGCCGCTTAAGGCATAAGGTTGGCATTCATCACAATTGCTCCAATTATATTTAATATCCTAAAAATTCAGGATTGTGGTCACAATAACTTTTCGTGCAAATCTCATACATTAAACAACTTGAATTGGGGTGTATGCTAGCGGAAAATCTATGTTCTGCTTATTTTAACAGGCTCTTTGAAATGGATTATGTCAATAAACTAAAAACTTTGGAATAGTGACCATAGGTTCTTATAAGAGTAAGGTTGTCAACATCACAATTTGAAGCGTAGGATCGTACGATTCTTCGATTAAGAATCACCAATTCAATTCGAATCATGTATAAAGTCGGACTACATAAAAATTGCTCAAAATCATTCTAAAATCGGAAAAAATCGATTGAAATCGCGATTTCCATCGATTTCACAATTTCAAATTACATGGAGCAGACTAAGTTTTTGCCCACACCAACCACTGACCATTTTCATCAGGCCAGGAACAATTCAACGAAATTGTTGCCTTGTCGTTGCCTTCAAGGCTCGGCATTATATAAGGCAACAGAGAAGGGAAATCACCCTCTCTTTTCGGTATGGGAAAGCTGCAATATATAACAAAAAATGTTTTTTTTTGTGAAAAAAAGTGTCTTCTCCTTGGCTAGGACTCGAACCATGCAACTTTCGCCTAACAATGGCGGTATCTTCCCAGCTTAGCTATGCTAACTATTGTTCTCTTTTGAACTATTAGGACAACTATAGTATTTGTACTAAATTACTAATGTTTACATGTACTCTCACCACTCAAATGTATGTTATGAAATTTGATATTAAAACATCATATGCACTTGTTGAAATCCTTAAATATCTAACAGTATTAATTTGTAATTATAGTGTGCACTTTGATTAAGACATCATCTTAAGATTTAAATTTTATGATTCAACTTGTTAATGTAAAATTGAGTTTTCTTTTAAATAATATTTTTAATAATTATTCCGTATTACCTAATGTTTTTATAAAATCTTACGATTTATGATTCGAATCTCCGATTCGGTTTTCAAATTGTTAAAAATACAATTTTAACAACCTTGTATAAAAGATTAAGAGTACATAAGCTGAAAATAAATTCATCTAATGGCTTATATTATTGTAGTATCTTCTATTTCATACGATTGCATATTTTTAGGCTTGCGTCGCAAATGTGAAAGCACGAATTAATGATGAAGCTGCAATTGTTCTTGATGCCATCCTGGAACTGAGTAGAAGCTCTGGAACCCAAGTAAAAGCTGATAATTCAGGTGATCATAATTTGTATCTCATGAAATATATAAATTTGACCATGTTTGCTTTGAGACATGATAAAAAATTGTACCTTATAAAGGTTTGATCAGGTCAAGTGCTCACGGTTCCATCAACATGCATCTCTGTTTTAAAAAGATGGTTTTCAGTTTTGAAGTCATCATGTAAGACTTATAAGTCGACACGAGTCTTGTGCACACTTGAGTGTAACCTCCAACTATTTATGGTTTTCTTTATTTTATTGAATTTGTTCACCCCAGTTTATTTGTATTCCATTATGCATTATATGTTTACTTTTAGAGTTTTAGGCCATATAATCTGTCTTGCAGTGTAAACTAGCTGCTCAAATCACAAGGATTGTTTCCAGAAGCGTCATAAGGCTACAGATAGTGTTAAATGCAATTTGGAATTAACTGAGTTTTGACAATTGCATTACTTTCTTTCTTTCTCAATATTGTTCAATATCATGCTCTGCCTTGATTAGTAAAATTCTTCTTTTGCAGCATCACTGTCTATAAATTCAATTTATGATGCTGTGATAACTAAAGAAGCTGGTCTTGGTATGGATTTGGAACGCATTAGAGGCTCACTGGTCCAACTGGGTTGTGAAGTTCCTCTGATCCCGATTGATGAGTCATATAGTATTGGTACATGCCATTATTAATGCCTTGTTGATTTTCCCTTCAGAGAGAAGCTTGTTTAACTGCAGAAGATGGTGTGACTATAAAGTAAATCACAGTTTTTACTTTCTTTAATAATGATACGGGTTAATCTTTTTTGCAGATCTAAAGAATATAATTGAAGTGGCAAGGACTGAAGAGGTTCTTATTTTTCATATAGCTTCCGTCCCAAAAAAAGGTCTTGCTTCAAAAACATTTTTTGTCTCAAATAAAGAGACCACCTATGATTTTAATCAAATCTAGCTCTTAATGTAATTTGTAGAATAACATACAAAGAGAGTCACAAACAAGATGCATATGATAATTTAATAACAAATATAAGTCTTAAAGATATAATTTGTGAGTTGTGACTTACAGCGCTTGTACCGTGCCAAAATTTCAAAATTGTACATTAATTAAACATGACTTCAATTTTTTGGGACAGATCTAGTACATTATAATTATTTATCGTTTTGTGCTATTAGTATTAGATGTGGAGGTTGCCATCTTTTTATTGTTATATTCACTAATGCTTTGCAGGTGGAGCCCATTGTGTTGAAACGATATGGAAGGGAGGCCTTTAGGATGTTCAGGCTAGTCTCAAAAACTGGCAGACTCATGTTAACTGAAGAGGTATTAAGTTGTAATTTGTAAACAATAAACATTCCCTTTTCTAAACATTTCCTGAGAAACTGTATTTATTGCTACAAAAAACTTACATATGTAACCCTTATCAAATGAATTAATTTGGCTATCGGGAAACAACCTCTGTGTGCTTTAGTACAGGGGTTAGGCTGCAACTGCGTACATTCGACCCCCCCCCCTACCCACCCCACTTACCCACCGTAAGTGGGAGCCTTTGCGGCACTGGAGCGTTGTTGTTGTTGTAAATAAGAGTTATATAATGAACTTGTATGTTCTATGTAAAAACGCTCATTTCACTTGCCTGCTGACTTTGCCTGGTATGGTACTTTCAATGACATAGATTTCAGATGCCACGTTTGTTGAAAAGAAAGATGCACTCAGGATTCTTCTTGGACTTTGGCAGGATGACTACTTGGAGATGAAGGTAATATAGTTGTGATCCCCCCTGAAACAAGGGGATATATATTTTTTTGATTTGGTCAAAGAAAGAAATGCATCAGTTCCTGCCCTATAATTGGTTCTTTTGTTCCGTTGCAGAAAATAATTGTGCGCGGAAATAATCAAACAGAACAAATGTTGTGGAGTGTTAGTAAACAGCTTCTTTGGAAGCGTGTTCTGGATGAAATGTACCATGCTGCATTGAATCTGAGACTGCGAATCACACACGAACAAGAGCAAGTCAAAAAGGTTGTTTTCTTTTGCATTTCTGTTGCATATAAATATGTGCTACCTGTATTTCGTCGCTATAGCATTTTAAAAGCTAGATGTTACGCTCTGCTATCCATGATTCACAACATTGATATACATATATACTTGGAGTATATATATATATATATATATATATATATATAGGAAATTTTCCGAAATAGGAGTAAAAACAATATTTTTTTTAAAGTAGGAATAACAACAGTATGATATATCAAAATAGTAGTACTATATTTTTTCCCACCCTAATAGGAGTAAATTACTTTCGTCCTGAAATCGTGCTGCCATATTTTGGAATTATGAGACATTAATATGATAATATTAAATTATGAATACCATAATTGATAGTATTTTCTCCACATGGCAGTAATTACTCCTTTTTAGTATTTTCCTTTGTCCAAATTTACATTTTTTGTTTTCAAAAAGTATACAGTGGTTTAAAATTGAAGGAATTAGGGATTTTCCAATTGTTTTAAGAAAAAATTATTTTATTTAGTTTTGTTGTGTTAGCTTAATTCTAAAAATTGAAATTTCGCTTTCTTCCATTTATAGTATTTTTAATATCTTTCTACTTTATTTTATATTGTTATATTTTCGAAATTACATTATAAGTATGATGTAGTCTGGAGTTTAAATTTTAAGATTTAGCGTATAGGTCTTGGAAGTTTTGGGTAATTTTAATGAAAGGGGTTAAGATTATAATATTAAGTGATATAATAGAAATTGTAATTGTAAATAATATAGAGAAAGTGTAAATTGTTTTAAAGAAAGATGCAAATGTATGAATAGAGGATAAAAAGGTTGAAAAGTAAGAAAATGTATGTATATATAAATAAAAATTTATCAAAATAGGAAAGTTGTGCATGTAATAAAATATTTTGAGAAAAAATATATGCGGCAAGTTAATAGACTAGGATATAGTACTATTTTTCATCTATTTTCGATGTATTATGTTGGGACTACTAAAAATGGATGGACCATAGTTGGGATTACTGTAAAATATAAATATCCTTTTTTGAATGGGACAACAGGTGACCGGTTACAATGGGTTATTATGATAGATGACCTTTATAGTTGGGATCATTCAGAAATAATCGATAGTTGAGATTATTAACAGTGGATCGACAATAATTAGGATTATTATTTTCAATCTTTTCATATATATGATCATATGGGAATGTGATCTAATTAGAACTGTCAGTGAACCCCTGCGTTGGATTTGAGAATTTTGTATCATCTGAAACTTAAAAGTGCATATGCCATAAACCAAAACATGTGGTGGTATCTTTTTAAATAAACTGAACTTCTTTCCCATCACGAAGTGCACCGGCATGAATAAAATGTGCACTATTTTTCATAATTCTCATTTCTCACGTAAACAGTCATTCTTGACAGAATAGACGCTACACACATACGATTCTAATATTTTTAAACATTATGGAGTACAATTATTCTTGGCTCGAAATCTAGCTCGAGCTCGAGTATGAATATCAATTTGAATTCAACCTCGAACTCATACCCGAGTTGAATTCAAGCTTTACAAAAACTGAAGAGGCGAACTCGAGCCATGATTATTAAGCTTGTTGGAGCTTGAGCTCAAACTCGATCCTACACCGCTCTAACTTTGTTTGTATCCCTACCTTTAACTAATGCTATCATTATTTACTACTTGAAAAATCACAGCTTGTAGGGGAGCTGGGCAGAGGAGACGGAAGATCTGCAAATGTTAGGCTTCTACTAGAGTCTGCCTTTATGAACCTTGATGATGCTATCATGCTCTTCCATGACTTTTAGGTGTACACATTTTTAGTAATTTATAAAAACAAATGGCGAACAATGATTATGAAGCTTGGCATCATAGGTTGCCGTAGGCCCGTAGCGTGCGTGTGTTACACATTGAGATGAATAATAACAATATTATAATGGTTAAAAGGTCAATAGGTCCATGTACCGGTTCAAAATTCTTAATTTGACCCATGGAAATGTTCAAATCTCACATATTGTAGTAACGCTCCAGTCACAGCCACGTCACCGTTATGTTGCTAGCGATGCATCTTCCGTGGTAATTTAAGGGATCAAATAAGCCCCTGAACCTGACCGAGTTGTTCAATTCACCTCTCAACCATTAAAAAATGTCAGAAATGCCAATAGTACATGGTCTATTTGACCTTTTAGCCTATTGTTGTTGTTGTTGTTGTTGTTGTTATTGTTGTGATTATAATTCTTTTATATTCATTCTACTCAGTTGCTTGTTGCTATTGTTAAGATATAAACTAATAATTTGCTGTGGTATTCTTGCATTTTTCCGTTGGACCAAAAAGAGAAGATATTACTCCAAAAGGTCAAATTATGGGAAGCAGGATTACACACATGAATAGGGGTGGGCACAATCTGGTCCTGGTCAATGCTAGGCGAAGCCGGGTCCGATCCGGCTTAATTTGGGTTTGGGTCGGTCCTAGGTGGTGAGGTTCCTGTCCTGGTCGTGGGCTGGACCCAGTTTGGTTATATTTTATTTTTCGTTTTTAAGGCAAAAAAAATTAGGGGTGGGCGCGGTCCGGAACGGTCTGGTAAATTAGCAAAACCCATAATGTATCCGTGAGGGTTTTAACGGTTCGGTACGGTCCGGTTCTAAGGATAGAACCATTCGGTACCATGTCGTTTTAGAACGGTACAAAACGGTTCGGTACAATGCCAAATACATGCCGAAACATTTGAACAAATTTTGCAATTAGTAGATATCATCACATGGGTCAATTGACGTGAAATTTTGATAAAAATACAAGAAAGTGCATACTAAATATTAAAAAAGATTCAAGAGGTTGACATTTTTGTATTTAAATTCAAAAACACTCAAACAGTGAAAGGAATTTATTAAAAGTATAGCAAAATGACAATATACAATCGTATAATATCATCTTTATTAAATTCATGAGAACATATAGAAAGAATATCGTTAAATTATTGAACAGGATACAAATATTTAATGTTCATCTTTGTTCTAAGTTGAATATTAATTCTAATATACGGAGTAGTTCATAGTTGAAATGCAAGAGTATGATTCAAACACAAATATGATAAAACAAAAGTCATATACACTACATTACTAGAAATTAATAGTCATTAATGTTTTTTAAAACTTTGACATTCTTTCATTATATACCAAATATAACATAAATTAATTATCTAAAAGGAAAACATAATAATATTTATATAACACACACTTAGCTATTTTAGGCCGGGATGCATGAATACATATTTGGGCTATAAAGTTGTTGATCTATAAAAGATATTTATGGGTATGGAAAAATATAAAAAATTCTCAAAGGCATTATTTTTGAACGGTTCGGTCCGGTATTTTTCGGTTCTCAAAATCTAGGACCGGTCCTGTACCCGTTTGAAACGGTACGGTTTCGGTTCGGGATAAAATTTTATAGAACCATTTAAATACCCGATATTCGGTTCGGTATCATTACAAGCCGGTTCGGTACCGGTTCGGTGCAGTTTTTATGCCCACCCCTAAAAAAATGGTCTAGAGTGGACCGGAATTGGGTCGGCAATTGGACCGGAATCGGGTCTGGAATTGTCTAGTCTGGTCCCCAAAATTCAAAATTGGGATTGGGCCCGCTTGCTGATTATCCACATAGTGCTAGACCCGATTTCAGACCAGCCCGGATCGCTGTCGGACCTGGTCCACCCCTACAAATGAATCATGCATGAACTCGTGAAAAAACATAATAGTATGAACAACAGAACAACTTACGAAATACAGAGTACTACATTGTATAAATTGTTTCAAAATTTCATTAAAATTTCTGTATTACGGAGTACTATTTTTCAAAAATGGAATCTTTAAAAAACAAAATTTTTTCTCAAATAATTTTTTTAGTCGCCTAAATTAGTATTAGCTTGGGATTCATAATTAAAGGGACCATTATAGAAAATATAACTAATGAAATCGGCACAATTCCTATAAAAATCAAGAATTGTTATGTAACTAAACCAAAATTAAACGGTCATGTTCTTTTCTTTATGAGATTTTAAAATAATCTTTTTCTCATTCAGGATTAACCCATAGTTCACTTCCTACAACATAAATACATCTAAAAATCAGAACACAATGAATAAAATTTTATATGAAGTTCAATTAGAATATGTCAAGACTTTTATAAAAGCTCAATTTTAACTGAGTGAACACTTAACTAAATAAAAAATTTCTATTACTACTACCACCAGTGCTATTGTTAATGTTATTGCTATTAGTATTATTATTACTATTACTTGAAGTGCTATTGTTATTTTCATTTTTTTTTATTTTATAGCAACGGTTTCGTACACATTTTTTTATAAGAATCAATAATTGAACCATTAACGACAACTAAAAACCAAACCGTTCACAAAAAGTTAAGAATCGAATAGTTAACGACTACGTAGTAGTAGTACGGAGTAATAAGTAATTTATTTGATTTTGATCCGAATCGAAAGTTATAATAGTTTGGGTCTAATTGATTCACAGGTTCCATACTTCCATATTCCCACCACTAAGTACTCCTGCCCGTTGTTCACATCAATTTTATTATATGACTGGCCTTGGCATGCCCTATGGGCGAGGGGTTGGTGCCCAATCAAGCACAAATGTAAAACATATAAAAATACAATACTTATCGTTTCGGGTTAGCAGGAAACTAAAGTGGTACATACTAGGGACGGCAATGGGGCGGGGTTGGGGCGGGGGTTCACTCCCCCATCCCCCGCCCCGTGTCTAAAAAATCGCCCCCACCCCCCGCCCCATCCCCCACTACTATTCGACCCGCCCCATCCCCCGCCCCGACCCGCTAGACCCACGGTTACCCAACGGGGAAGTACTCGTCAAAAATTAACATCATTTTAGACTCCGACAATTTTTCAAAAATTTAACAACACTTCTAGTAGCCATTTTTTTTACTTTTTAAGTGTCAATGTAATCTTACATCCCATTTCAAATCTAGAACACATTATACGCGTTCTAAATTAGTAATTTTTATCAAACTCTAAATTAGCATTGATTAGCTCTATAATATTTTCTTAAACCCTGCATTCAATCAATCATGGTCATTTGACGGCATCTAGGACGACATATGATCACCAAATTTTAAGAGCCCTAACTACAATCATAAAGATGACATTCAAAAGAAAAGAATTAATGCATTATAATAGTAAAGGAAAAAAACTTTCACACCGTGCCTGAGGCGTTTAAGCTAATATCACTTTATAAGTTTCCCAAATTCATTTTATTTTATCTCTAAAAAAATCATTTTACTTTATGATTTTGATAAGCAATTTTACAAGATAGCTTAGTTATTAAACAAGAATTAGATAGATCCATTACGCACAATCCATTAGATAGGAAACCACTAAACCCACCGGACCACCATGGTATTTTAATTACTTCGTATTAGTATTACTATTATTATTAGTATTATTATTGAGATTATTATTATTATTAATTATTACGGGGGACGGTGCGGGGACGGTGCGGGGGTGCATAACCCATCACCTGCCCCATATTTTTGCGGGGAGAAAATATCTCCCCCACCCCACCACCCGCCCCAACTCCCCCCCACGGGGCGGTTCCCCACGGCCCCCCGCCCCCATTGCCATCCTTAGTACATACAAGGGCATTTCTGGAGAAGTGAGCTGTGCCATTAAATCTCGCAGTTTCATTTCGGCGTTTACGTTGGATATCAGAGGGAACCCTTGACCCTGATCCAGATGGACCAGTCATATGGATTTAGAGGAACTATACATTTTCTTACTACTATGTCCCTGCATTCTTACTTCTAAGATGATCTGTGCTAAGAAAATTTTGTTCTTTTAAACGTTTCCAAAAAAAAAAAAAACAGGAGTACGAACAAAACCAGAAATCAATGAATGGAACACAACAAAATACCGCCAGAACACTCTCACATTCAGGACAAAAGAAAATGATATGATTGATAAAAGGCTTCTAAAAAAAATCATTATGGCGACACGATGTAAAACTTGTTTCACACGTTAAGGCACTGGTAGCAAAACTAAATAAGACTTTTTGAATTAATTGGCCAAAAATTTATTTATGTGTCTTGAATAGACTCAAATGGAGAAAGTCAATCACTAAACATAATAACATTAATAAAGCGGTACAAGCGTATAAAGAGTACTAACCCATTGAAGCAATCCAAGAGCCACACAATTCAAAAACAAGGGCAACAAGATGCAAAACTGTTACGATGGCAAACGTCATTAGTTAGTGAAACAGGTCCGGTAAAATACACCATAAAACACAACAAGCTCCACCACAGAATGGACATGCTTAGCTAACAGTTACCCAAGGCGAATCATACTGTCAAATACAAGAAAATCCACCACCAAAAGTGTTTTTTCCCAATAATTTGTACAACACACGATTTAAATTCACTTTTCAATGAGACATATTTTTTACACGTATAATAAATGGTTTTAGTTATTTATTTTTTACAGCGAATAAAAACCGGTTAGATAATTGTGGATGAGAAATCCATTGACTTAGCTGCATGTAGTACACAGCGGCGGACACAGGAATTCCGGCTAGGAGGGGCGGCAGGGTAAAAATATAGATAGAAATACATATATATTAAAATTTCGGGGTAAATATACCTAGAAAAATAAAATTTTGGGGGGACAACAGCCCCCATTTGCCCCCATGTTCGGTCCGCCACTGGTACACACAACCATGCTATCAAGCAATTCCAACCAAACATAACAGTACGTGTTTGTCAAAAGACCACCCCAAAAAAATGTCTTTTCCATCCATTGCATGGATTGTTAAGGAGACTGAATTTAATACGCTATTGTACTATTAAGTGTTTACACCTGATATTAGGGGGGAAATGTTTTTTGTCAGGTTTTGGTATTTTACTTTCTGATTTTGTTTTTCAAATATAGGCTTTGATTTAAAATGAAATTTATAAATGCATTTCATAATCACTTATATGGGTCCACTTATGAAATTTATAAATAGTCATGGCCGGGTAACTTTGTACGAAGAAATGAATTATACGAGCTATTAACTAAGCTAGCAAGCACCAATAAGCTTTAAAAGGAGTTCTTCTTCTCCCACATGCCTTTTCATTGTCACATGCCTTCTTTCAAATAAATTCATATCACTTTGCCAGAATTTGTATTAGGATCTTTGGCTATTTGGCTATTTGTTTTGCAACTACAAAAAAAATGGATTGATTTTAACCC